GTATCTGTTTCTGTATCTGTTTTCTGTTTGTGTATATTAGGCTGCATTTTGTTTTAAACCAACTCAATTGGGACCTGTTTCGCCTACACGTTTGAGTGTCGCGAGTTTTTTATCGCTTCATTTTTTGCGCAATTTTTGCACTTGAGTAACGCGTTTATAAATAAAAGCTGCTTGGCTTTTTTTTACGTATATGGCAGTACTTACGCGTACCCGCAGAAAGGCCAATGTCAGGCTCTTATTGGCAACGCGTTCCACTTCTTCTGCCCTTTTTGCTGTGTACTTACAAGTATAATAAGTAAAACTCTCGGTCTGGCCCGAGCGCATGATTGCTTTTTAATAAGCACCACCACACGTCTATATACATGTATATGATACATATATATGTATATATGGTGTATCGCATCGTATGTGGGCATAAATTTCATATTTTTCTCTCCCTCTGCCTTCTCTGTGCTTTGATATTATCTTGTACCATGGACAATGTTGTTTTTATGCCCTGCACTAAAACGCTTATTAAAACATTGTCAGCGACTAAGACGACTCTCTAAATACTGTTTAATGCTATTGATTTGGTCCAGATTTCGGTATATTTAACATATGTACTCAGTATTCAAACCAATAATATTTTTCGCTCAAATAAAGTACAAGTACAAAAAGAAATTCTTATTTTGACAATTTCTTATTCAATTGCCAAACATTTATTTATTATTATTATATTATTATTTTTATATTATTATTATTATTATGTTATTATTATTATATTATTATTACTTCTTCCTAATGTCTAGGGTATTTCATTGCCCAAGTTGGCTGTTCTATCAGCTCAAATATAGTATTATTTTTTTTTTTAGTTCATTTTCAGCGTGTCATGTTGCCCTTCCTGTGTTGTGGCTTGTGTAGGTGTTTTCTTTTTGTTTTTTTTTTTTTTGTCTTGTTTTTGTTGTCTTCGCCGTGTTGCTTTTGTTTTTGCCGCTTTTGTTTGCTGCCTCCCAACTCTCTGTATGGCAACCTGCAGCACCCGGCTCAGGTTAATGACTAATGTGTGGGTCTTTGTTTTTGTGAATATGCATAAGTTTATGAGCGCGTTGCTAGTGGGTGGGGTGTTGTGTCGGCTTATAAGGCAGACAGAGCCACAGTTCGGACAGGCGGTGAGTGAATCATGGCTCAGGGCCCACACTTGAGCTAACTGGCAACTTTATTAGCCAAGTTCGTTGCCAGAGTCATTTGTTTCGCTTTGAACGCTTTTTTTGCAGCAAAAGCTACCCTAACAAACCGTTAAACGCTCGCTAACATTCACACACACACACACACAGATAAAAACTGATAGAGCGAACGCCCACGCGCATATTGAAGATCGCTAAGCTACAAATAGCCGTGGAGCGAGCGCACTTCAAGCGAAAACGAGGTCAGTTTTGCGGCGAAATAACCATTTTCGTATTTCATTGCGCACAAAACATGACATCATGAGCTTAACAGCGCATGTGTGTGTGTGTGCGAGTCAAAGCTTAATTGCAGCTGTGCTAAAGCTTTTTGCACTTAAGATACCTATATACAAATATAAAATATTTTACTGGCGATTTGCTCGCCACTTACCCTTTGCATGCGCTAATCCACAATACACGAATGCTGCCAGGCATATGGCATGCCACAATTGATGCGTTGCAAACATTTTCGCCGCCATCAAAAATTTGTATCTAATTAGTCGAAACGGAAAGACAAACGGCATTATTAAATATTGGATTGCACAAAAGAACAGCAGTGGCAACGGCCAACGGCACATGCTCCACAAGAGCCTCCACACATTTCATTTGTATTCTTTAACAGTCATACACACACGCACACACACACACTCACACAGACACACTGTTATATTATGAAACAAAGCCGTAGTGCTAAAGAGAATGCCAGTCAAGTAGCGGCCGAGGCTGCTGGCCAACGGCTAGTGGTAAACGTCGAATACGTCGAAAACTCAACAAATCAACGGCAAATAAACACAAAAAAACACACACACGCACACACATGCATGCACACATGCATATAGTCTGCACGTCTTCGCCTTACTTAACGCTGAACACGACGAAAACACGTCCAAGCCGCACGCTGGTCGCGAGGTAACTGAATATCCGCAGCCAGCTGAGCATCAGTTGAAGCCGACGCTTGCGCCTGCGCGTGACGTCTGTTGCTTTTTTGTTCGCATCGCTGGGCCAATGTGGCCACTGTGCAGCGCTTACTGAATTTCTTGAGGCGCAGCGCGGGGCGCCCAAAGAGTTGTTTATACTCTAAAATCGACAAATAAAAATATATTTACATATACATATTTTGATTATAAGCAAATTAAACTGTGTTAAATTAACAGCACGAAATAATAACTGATCCAGTCAAAAGCTATTGAAAGAGAGAGGGGGGAGAGCGAGAGCGATAGGGGAGAGTGAGAGCGAGAGCGAGAGAGGAGAGCGAGCTTGCGGCAGCCATGCACACTAACACACTCGCACACTCATAGAATGTGTGTGATAAAAATCAGCCGGCTGCAAACGACTTAAATGAGAAATTGTGGGAGCGCAGTTTTTTTTTTTGCAAGCAATTACATAATCTGGCCTTTGTTATTGTTGCTGCTGCAGCCGCTGACATTGGCGCCATTGTTGGTTTTAGTTGTTGCTGTCAAAGCAAACATTTAATTGTTGTCGCCAGCAGCAGAAGCAGCAGCAGGTTCTCAGTCAACTCAGCTAATCTAACAATGCATAAATTATATCAGACACCGAAACTTTGCTACACTGGAGTTCACTGTACTGAACTAACTTCCGCTTTTTGACGCTTTGCAACACCTTCAAGCAGGCAGAACCGTTCTTTTGGTGGTCATTTGGCGCAGTTCACCCCAGTTGAGGCACAAGCATCGGTGCTTGGACCGGACCTAAAACCATTATGCCATGTTATATGCACTCAATTTCACACTTGTTGGCCGCGCGTGCTCCTCCACTAAAGTGCACTGTTTTTATTGTTCGGCCTGTCCAGGCAGGCACCACACACACACACACACACATACACACACACTTGTTAGTTTTCCAAGCCAATGGGCAGTGGAGCTGATGTGCCAAAAGCTCTGCGCCTATCATTAGGCCAGCTGGCCAGTGAAGCCACAGGGACGGTGGGCGACGAGGGGTCGCGGTTAACAGCAACGGTAAATGACGTGCAAATAAATGCAGTCAACGATGCGCGCTAATTAAATTTGCCTATTATATTTAAGCGAGCACTAACCAAGTTTTATACAACACAATTAATTAAACATAAACTACAATTGGTAAATAAATCAATTTAGAAAAGTTTTCAATTAAAGTTTTTTTTTTTTTTTCAGTCAGTCTCAAATGTAAAAAATATTAAAATATAAGTGATTTGATCATTTAATATTATTATATTCTATAGGAAAATATAAAACATTTGTAATATATTTTTTATGATCAATTTTTATCCAAGCTAAGCGCGAACTTTAAAGTCTGTTAAAAATATTTTCCTATCTACGTGCCCTGTTATCCGTGCTAAAAAAAAAAATTGGTTGCTGTCTATGCTTAATGCATGTACGCCCATACAAATGGTTGCGCAGCTAAAAATTACACTAGATGGCGCCAGCTATATATAAATTCGTTAAATTTTGAAATCTTTTGCGGCATCTGAAATTAATATTTTCAGCCAAAATTAAAATTCTTGCATTTCTGCCGAATGGAAATATACTCGACTTAGCCCAAATACAATTAAATTTTGTTATTAATTAATGAATTAATGTTAAATTAGATGCACAACATTATAAAGTTCTACAGCAAATAGCTTTTACAGACAAAACACATTGCACCTTCAATATTCCTATGTACGAATATACACACATACATACAAACGTATCGAAGAAAATGATTAAGCACAGAGAGATGCTTGCGAAAGAGAAACCAAAGCATAACCAGAAAAAGTTCGACGGCACAAAGTTAACGCCAAATTCCTAGAAAACAGACTTTGCTCGGCGCCATTCGTTTGTCTCGCTCGCACTCGCTGTCTTTAAAGCCGATCGTCGTCCTAACGGGACTATGCTCTTCAACATATACATACATACACGCATTACATTTATATTTATATTTGATGAATTATGCAGCTACACTTATAGGCCGGGAGATGTGCAATATGAATATAATTAAAAACATATTCACACATAGCACGGCCTAAAAATGCTTACATAAGGCGCGAAGCAATACGCTATACGCAGTATTTTCCAAATTGTTTTAATTTTCCATATATCGAAGAGAGCACGGTTCATTTTTAGGCCGGGAGATGTGCAATATGCTAAATAAATTGATTAAGCTCCACATATTGTCACAAATACCGTCCTTAAAATGGTCATGCGGACGCACTAGTTTTTCCAGCTATAAGTTTTCATGGCGGGAAATGGCGGAAAACGTACACACATTGAACAACACTGGACACGGCCTGCAAAATATAGCTTGCGAACATTAATTGAACTTGTGCGCAATCTTGTGTTTAATGGAATCTCTATTTTTCCGGCCGTGAAAAGTGCAATACTTGTAAAAATAAAAAAAGAATTGACACTGACCACAGCCGAAAAACTAGGGATACTTTTGACAATAAGAAATTGCACTATAATTCAGGAACAGAACAGAAAATTAAAAGTACACTACTGAGAAAGCTTACGCCTTTTACTTATCGTAACTATATTCGATTTTAAATTGGTCCTTCCAAAAAAAAATAAGCGCAAGTCCCAATCTGTCTGCCAGACGAGCTGCTCGGGACGACGAAAAAGTTATAATGACAAGCTTCAACATTTACAGCGAATTATGAGTTGCGTACAGAGACTGTTAGGATAACAGCAGGAGCTGTTAATCAATTGAAAGGGCTGTTATGATAATCGATCGCAATTCGCAATTGTGATTGCAATTCTCGATAGTTTGGCTGAGTATATAATTGAAAAATATTAAGTAAAGTTTATTTTACATAATAAATTTCGTATTGCAGAATATACACAAAAGCTTAACTTATAATCTACTTATCATTATCTATCATTAGTTTCGTAAGTTCCATTAATTTTGGTTTCATTTCCTTGTAGTACCCCGTTTGCTGATGCATCAGGGCGTAAAGTTTAACGCGCTCATTCTGAATGCTTTGTATACGTTCCCGATTCTCTCTGCTCTTTGCCATGGCAATCTGAGAAAATACATATTTAATTTATAATATCAGACCATAATAGTTTTACTAGAACTGACCCCAATAGCTTTTTCCTGAGAAACTATTTGCTTTTGGATAAATCGAATGCTGGAATCCATGAGGCGCATGCGCACCGGCCTTGTCCGTTCCTCTGGCGTCAGTTTATGAACGTTCCTGCAATTAATAATTGGGTTAATGTTACAGCCAACCAGATAACCAGCTGTTTTCAGAACTTACCAGTTAGTGCCTTTATAGGGTTCAAACTTTTCCTTAAGCACCTCCATGGTAATCAACTTCTTGCCAACATCATTGGACACAAAAAAATTATCGTTTATCTTGGGCAACACCTGGCTCATTCTCGCGCGTACACGTTCGATTAGAGTATCCTTGTTTAGGATAGTGTTCTCATGTTCCAATAGAATTGCTGCAAACGGTTCCAAGCACATGGCGCTGAAATTGTAAATGCACATTAATAATAGTATGGACGCTTGCAATTCAAATTCAATTTCAACTTACCTCATGTCCGCAAAGATTTCCATAAGCGCTTTATCGTATTCTGCTTTTACTTTACCCGCAATTGGGCTGTGCCTTTTGAAGGCTTCTTCAATGTTTGGTTCTGATACAGGCATTCGGGCCGGATGCGACATGTTTTAAACAATACAAATTAACAATAACAAATTTGACGCGGCTTTAGCTTGGGTGGACAGTGTGACCACAGCTCTCAACAGCTGCTAACTATGGATGCATTCGTTGGCTATCGGTGGGCCACCACATTACCACAGTCGATAACTTATCGTGTCTTATCGGTCGTTTGGAATATCTAACAAATTTTTTAAGATAGTTTTTGTTTACTTATAAGTTGGTATTGCATAAAAAGCCGCCAAAATGGGTAAACGACAGCATCAAAAGGATAAAATGTAAGTTATACAGTCTAATAATTAGCTAATTACTCACTGCTGCTCACTGTTATTAGGTACTTAACGTACACCGAGTGGACCGAGTTCTATGGTGGCAAAAAAGTGGAATCCTTGGAGAATGAACATATTAAATTTAAACGTTTACCATTTGGCAATTGCTGCATAACCATGGCACCATTCGAAATGCCGTACAGTGATCTCAATGGGAATGTCTTCGAGTATGAGGCGATATTGACATTCTTGAAGGCATTTAAAGTCAATCCCATTACTGGCCACAAAATGGACTCCAAATCCTTGATTAAACTTAACTTTCACAAAAATGCCAACGACGAATACCATTGCCCCGCGTTGTTTAAGCCCTTCAGCAAAAACTCGCACATTGTGGCTGTGGGCACAACGGGCAACGTTTACTGCTGGGAGGCAATCGATCAGTTAAACATTAAGACCAAAAACTGGAAAGACTTGGTTGATGATACACCATTCCAACGCAAGGATATTATCACAATACAAGATCCCCAGCATTTGGAAAAGTTCGATATATCCAAGTTCTATCACATCAAGAAAAATTTGCGTGTGTTAACAGCTGAAGAGCAGCTGGAGCGCAAGGATCCCCTGGGACGCATCAAGACCATGAATATGGAAACGAAGGAGACGCTGGCACAGCTACAGAAAGATTATCAACCAGCGGAAGAGGCACCATCTGGTTCTAAACGCACAGCAGACAAGTTTAACGCGGCGCACTACTCAACCGGCGCAGTTGCAGCCAGCTTTACATCCACTGCCATGATGCCTGTATCCCAAAGCGAGGCAGCTATCATTGACGATGATCTTGTCAAGTACGAGCGGGTCAAGAAGAAGGGCTATGTGCGGCTGAACACAAATTTCGGGCCGCTCAACTTGGAACTCTATTGCGAGCAGACCCCACGCGCTTGTGACAATTTTATTAAGCATTGCGCAGATGGCTATTATAACAACGTGCTGTTTCACCGTTCCATAAGGAACTTTATTGTGAGTAACACTCGACTTGGCGCTAATTTCAATAGTAACATTATTTGTTTTACCATAGATACAAGGAGGGGATCCAACAGGCACAGGTGCTGGTGGTAAATCGATATGGGGAAAGATGTTTGAGGACGAGTTCAAGCCTAATCTAAGCCACACGGGACGCGGCATGCTGTCAATGGCTAATTCGGGGCCCAATACAAATGGCTCCCAGTTGTGAGTAGCCATTGAAGTAACTAATAAATTCAACTGGTGGTTACTCTCTCTATTCCTCTATAGCTTCATTACCTATCGCTCATGCAAGCAGCTCGACGGTAAACACACAATTTTTGGCAAATTAGTTGGAGGCCTTGAGACACTGCAGAAAATGGAAAACATTGAGGTGGACAACAAGGACAGGCCCATTGAGGACATCATAATAGAGAACGCTCAGGTGTTCGTTAATCCATTCGAAGAAGCTGTCGAGCAGCTGGCCAAAGAGCGTGCAGAAGAAGCGGCCAGCAAACAGGTGGCGGCCATAAAGCTTGAGCAGCAAAAACGTTTAAACGAACCGCTTAAAAAGTACCGTGAAGGAGTGGGCAAATATCTAAAACCAAGTGCGCCCAAAAACCCAGAACCACAATCACAATTGCCTGGAGCGCAGCCTGCGAAAAAGAAGAAGCATACAAACGGTTTTGGCGATTTCTCCAGCTGGTAGCTGTACTCAAATAAACACATATTTTCAATAAGCGTACACTGCTTCACTTTTCATTCTCTTCACGTTCACGACTTTGCCAGGTCTTCTTCATCTCCTGCAATTTGCCTTGCCGGCGTTTACGCTCCGAGGACTTTTTCTGATCGAGCACTTTCTGTTGTGCTGCAATTGACTGTTCTCCGTTTAGGTGCGCATCGAGCTTATCCAACAATATTTTACGTGCCTCAATCCGGTTCTTGGAAGCCAAACGATGTAGATGACACTTGACGGTTATGCCAGTTGGAAGATGACGTAGAAAGACGCAATTGTTGGTTTTGTTTACGGCTTGTCCACCCGGTCCGCTGCCGCGCATTAATGTCTCCTCAATGTCCGACTCCTGGAGACTTGGGTAGCGTGAGTAGTCCAAGTGAGCCGTGGACGCCAGCCGGCACAGGTTGCTGGAGAGTGAACCAGCCAAAGATCGCAACTTGAGCATTACTAGAGTATTCGGCCTTTCTTGAGCAATGTTTCGCCGCGCTGTGGTAAATTTTAAATTATTTGAATTGTAATTATTGTGATATAATAAGAAAAACACACCTTAAAATTGAACTCAATCTCTAAGGGACTTGTTAGGTGTCGATGCTCACGGAACTCGTGCCGCACTCGACCCAGAAAGTAATTTTTATCCGTGAGCTTCAGGTGATTGCCGTATTTGATAAGATGCTTATAAAGGCGGAGCACCTGTTGTCGGGTTGGTTGAAACATATTCTTTTAAATCCCAACAAGAATTTGTTGTTCTCGCATACGCATGTAACTAAATTGCTGCCAGACTAAAAAAAAAACAGAGTTGCCATATCGGCTGTACGGCTCACCATATGCGAACTATATCAGCTGTTGGCAGCACATGGTATTTTCATATGATAAACATACACACAAAAATATGTATATATTTTAACAGCGGTTTTAATCAACATATAAATTTGATAACGTACGTAAAGCTATATATACATTTTTTAAAACAAAATCACCAATAATTTATACTTATGTTAACAAGCGACTGGTAAATTCTAAAGTCATGGCCAATGGCAATCTTGTTTTTTTTTGCTAATTCACTGTGACGGGTTTGTGATTAATAAATTGTTATCTATTCGAATTCCACGCTATTGATCCATTTACTGCTATCAATATCTTCATCGATTTGAACATTATGCAAGCGGCTCAGGTCAAACATTTCCTTCATTTGGTGGGCAATCTCACGATCGACTATTTCACCTCCTTGTGACATAGCCTCCTGTATGATTTCGTCCTCCGTTTTCTGGAGGGCTATCAATTCAGCGATCGTCAATTTTGGAGGCTCGACTAGCATCATTAAGAATGATGCTGAAATGCTAAGCGAATACGGCAAAAAGCGAATGTACTCCTTCAGCAAATTCTCGCGACTGCAAGAAAACATAGATTTGTAAGTCCAATCAAGCTATTAACAATATAATCATACCTCAAAAATTCCGGAAGTTTACCATCTGAGTGCTTTGTGTAACTCTCAAAGAGCGCAGTGCAATAATCATCGAAAATGCTGTCGAAATGCTTATGACGCACATCCGCGAGCACAGAGTTGGCCAGGAATGTTGAGAGGTCGATCATGGGCGAGGACAAACGCATTGTCTGATAGTCAAACATCATTGTATCCAGGGGCGTGCCACTATTGTCCGAAGCGTACTTGTAGGCCACATTGTTTCTCAGGTAGTCCCCGTGGCAGAGGATAGAAAGTGGCTCCTTAGGCGCCGCCACTCGCTGACGTCCGTAGCCCACAGAGTCCCACACAGTTTGTTGAAACTTTTTGATAAATTCCTTGTCCACTTCTGGATGGTAAATGGTCGTCGCCTTGGCAACACGTTTCAGTCCAGTTTTTCCTACTAAAGCATATTCGGGATTGATAACATCGTTGGCATATCGAGATTCCCGAAATTGGCGAGTTAGCTGCTCGAAGCGGTCCTTCTGATTGTGCTTCATGGCATAGCCAAAGCCATGAAATCTGCCCAAGTACTTGACTGGAAGAATGATATTCCTTAGTAAATTACGTAGTTTACTTTGATGTCTGACTCACCTGCAATACGCGTGTGCTCCAGACTGAGGCCATATCTGTCCTTTGTCACACTCCAGCCATCCGCTGAAAAGTCCCCCAGGATAAGCCATGCAGAGTTCGGTTTTATCTCGCTGTGATAATACTTGGGTGAAGCAAACTTGCCATTGCTCAGCTTTAGAATAAGAGGTAGTATCTCGGTATAGAAACTAACTTCGTTGTGGAATAGATCACCGAATTGTGCGTTGTCGTAAAATTCAGGCGGTACGTCTGGCGTTTTCTGTACATGGGGATGTGTTCATTAATTCATCAATTATAATAATTTGTTTGTACACTATTTAAATAGTATTGTATGCACACCTTAACAACAAACTTGCGCTGCTGCTCCTCACCGGCGTATTCAAAATTAACTGTTGCTCGATAGCATTGAGTCAACATAAACGCCTCTTCGGGTCCGATGACGGCGATTTTAATGTCCCCGACCTTGAATGTGCTCAGCTGTGACTCGCTGTAATTGTCCACTAGACGTCCGTTTTGTAGAATCTCAGGCAAGATTGAAGTGGTGAGCCACTCGACTTCTCTATCAACGTTCAGCGCCATTATCAGTGAGTATATTCGAGAACCGCTCAGCTTCGTGAATAGCGTACAACTAGTCGTTAGACGGCTGTGCAGTGCTCATTTTAAGCGACGATAGACGAACGTGAATATCTGTATATACATTTATATTTGTATAAACTAATCAGTGTGTGTTGGCTCGTGTGTGTATTGTTGATGTTTGTAATATTATTGTTTGGGCTTGTCGAAATGAATGCGAATTTAATCGCAAAATGTGAGGGTTCTTAATATTGAAAACAGTGTGCTCTCCACGATTAGATATGATCACATTTTTGTGGCGGCTTATTGCTGAGAGCGTCGAGTTATGAAATACAAAGCTGTGCAAGGCTAAAAGATATAATTACTTGACTAATGTTTAGTAAATAAGAGAACATTTTGTCCACTTTTAAATATGTACAATTTTATAAAACTTAACACATTCGTATAGTGCATGTTTTCATCAATCCAATCTCATATATTTTCTCGGTCCATCATTTCATCCCTCACCACGTTGTTTTGAAGCTTTTTCAACTCTTTCAATAAATCGTCGCGGCTGCAAGAATTTAGTTCCATATTAGTGTTCATAGATAAACTTTAAAGATATACAATTACTTGAAGTACGCTGGAAGTGAATTAATTCAATGTCTCCTATTGCCTTCAAATAAAATTCCTCAGAAATTAAAGATGGCAGTATGTGTAACTTAAATACATATGCTGAAGTGTTCTGATGGATTCCTTGCCACGCAGATCAGAATGTAAACAAGTGATGGAAGACAAATCTTATCCTGCTGCAGAGGGCAGGGTTAATTAATACTTTTTTGCTGCTGCATTACAGTGGAAGTTCCTTGAGCAAGATTATGGGATGGTGAACTTCAAAGCAATGCCGAGGGCGTATAAAGCGACTGTCAACGCGAAACAGGTCGAAGTTCTCAATAAACAATGTTAGCGGTACGATGCTGCTAGAGAATGGAACTGTTCTTTAGTTTTGCAGCGCTTCCCGATGATGGGAAGGACCAAAGGAAAATAAACTTTATCTTAATTAAAGTTGGCCAATGGCGATGGCTGCCAACACTGAACACTTTGTGGGCTTGCCAATTGGGGTACAAACCTACCTCAATTTGGTTCTTGGAATGAATCTAAACGACGCAGATGCCACTTGACCGTTATTCCAGTTTTCTAGGAGGCTTGTTGGCTGCCGATTCTTATGGAACTCATGTTGCACTCGACCCAATAATAATTCCTATCCGTGACCTTCAGGTGATTTGTGTATTTGATAAGAAGCTTTTAAAAGCGGTGGGATGCAACTAATTCTCTCAGGTCTCAACAAGAATTTGTTGTTCCATCAAATTACGTATGTAAAATAAATGCATACACCGTAAACGTATGTAAAATTAGGTTGCTGCCAGACTAGATATAGAAATAGCGTTGCCATATCGACTATGCGGATCACCAATGCAAATTTAATCCACATATGTACACACTTACAAATATATTTGTTTATTAAACGCAAATTTGGGTCAACATATCTAATTGATAACGTATTTATATATAAGCGAAGCACCGGTATACATATACAGATATATATTAAAAGTCATTGCCAATGGCAATCTATCTATCTAGATTTCATGAAATGTTATCTATTCAAATTCCACACTATTAATCCATTTACTGCTATCAATATCTTCGTCGATTTGAACATTGTGCAAGCGGCTAAGGTCAAACATTTCCTTCATTTGGTGGGCAATCTCACGATCGACTATTTCACCTCCTTGTGACATAGCCTCCTGTATGATTTCGTCCTCTGGTCTCTGGAGGGCAAGCATTTCCGCGAACATCAATGTTGGAGGCTCGACCAGCATCATTAGGAAAAATGCCGATATACTTAGTGAATACGGCAAAAAGCGAATGTACTCCTTCAAAAAATTCTCGCGACTGCAAGGAAACATAGTTTTGTAAGTCTAATTAAGCCATTAACATTATAATCATACTTCAAAAATTCCAGAAGTTTACCATCTGAGTGCTTTGTGTAACTCTCAAAGAGCGCAGTGCAATAATCATCGAAAATACTATCGAAATGTTTATGACGCACATCCGCGAGCACAGAGTTGGCCAGGAATGTTGAGAGGTCGATCATGGGCGAGGACAAACGCATTGTCTGATAGTCAAACATCATTGTATCCAGGGGCGTGCCACTATTGTCCGAAGCGTACTTGTAGGCCACATTGTTTCTCAGGTAGTCCCCGTGGCAGAGGATAGAAAGCGGTTCCTTAGGCGCCGCCACTCGCTGACGCCCGTAGCCCACAGAGTCCCACACAGTTTGTTGAAACTTTTTTACAAACTCTTTGTCCACTTCTGGATGGTAAGTGGTCGTTGCTTTGGCAACTCGTTTTAATGCAGTCTTTTCAAGTAATTCAAATTCGGGATTGACAACATCGTTGGCGTAACGAGATTCCCTAAATTGGCGAGTTAGCTGCTCGAAGCGGTCCTTCTGATTGTGCTTCATGGCATAGCCAAAGCCATGAAATCTGGCCAAGTACTTGACTGGAAGAATGATATTCCTTAGTAAATTACCTAGTTCACTTTGATCACTGGCTCACCTGCAATGCGCGTGTGCTCCAGACTGAGGCCATATCTGTCCTTTGTCACACTCCAGCCATCCGCTGAAAAGTCCCCCAGGATAAGCCATGCAGAGTTCGGTTTTATCTCGCTGTGATAATACTTGGGTGAAGCAAACTTGCCATTGCTCAGCTTTAGAATAAGAGGTAGTATCTCGGTATAGAAACTAACTTCGTTGTGGAATAGATCACCGAACTGTGCGTTGTCGTAAAATTCAGGCGGTACGTCTGGCGTTTTCTGTACATGCGGATGTGTTCATTAATTCATCAATTCAAATAATTTTGTGTACACTATTTAAATAGTATTGTATGCACACCTTAACAACAAACTTGCGCTGCTGCTCCTCACCGGCGTATTCAAAATTAACTGTTGCTCGATAGCATTGAGTCAACATAAACGCCTCTTCGGGTCCGATGACGGCGATTTTAATGTCCCCGAATGTGCTCAGCTGTGACTCGCTGTAATTGTCCACTAGACGTCCGTTTTGTAGAATCTCAGGCAAGATTGAAGTGGTGAGCCACTCGACTTCTCTGTCAACGTTCAGTGCCATTATCAGTGAGTATATTCGAGAACCGCTCAGCTTCGTGAATAGCGCACAACTAGTCGTTAGACGGCTGTGCAGTGCTCATTTTAAGCGACAATAGCGTAATATGTACGAGTATAAATGTATATTTGTATGCACTTATCAGCGTGTGGATACTCTTGTGAACATGTTTGATTTTTGTAATATTCGTTTGGTCTAGACCAAACAATTGCGAATTTAATGGAGTAATGTAAAGTTGCTTAATAACGAATAAAAACTCTCGATATGGTCAAATTTTTGTGGTAAAAAAGGCGGGTGATTTCTGAGACTGATAAGCACAAAGTTTTGCAAAGCTGACACACATAATTAGTTGAAAAGTGTAGAATAGATTAGAGAACATTTTGTTTTAATATATTTTTATTTAGCCAATTCTTAAGCTTATGCCATTCGATACAACTTAAGCACTTTCATATATCCAATTTGTTTCTTTTACAAATTTGAAAGCATCTTTAATCCAATCTGATGTATCAATATCCTCGTCAATTTGCACTTTGTGCAATTGGCTCAGCTCGTACAATTCCTTTATTTGATGGGCTATTTCCCGGTCCACCAGTGCACCGCCTTGCTTCAACGCTGTCTGAACAATTTCCAAATCCGAAAGCTCTGTGTTAAACATTTCCTCCGCCGAAACTGTTGGTGGATCAACCAGCGAGAAGAGGAAGTAGCACGTTATGTGCACAGCGTATGGCAAAATCCTGATGTACTCTTTCATCAAATCATCGCGACTGCAACAATTCAGTTCTTAATTAATGTGAATAGAATGATCTTAAAGATGTGTATTTACTTGAGGTACGCCGGAAGTGAAATACTTGAATGTTTCCTATAACTTTCAAAGAGCGCATTGCAATAATCATCAAAAAGACTATCAAAATTGTTGTAGCGCACTTCCGCCAGGAGTGAGAGTGCCAGGAACACGCAGAGATCAATCATGGGCGAGGACAAACGCAATGTCTGATAGTCAAACATCATTATCTCCAGGGGAGTGCTGCTATTGTCCGTAGCGTACTTGTAGGCCACATTGTTTCTCAGGTAGTCACCGTGGCAGATGACAGCGAGTGGCTCCCTGGGCGCCACACGCTGACGTCCATAGCCTATATAACTGTAAAGGAGTAGCTGAAACTTACTGACGAATTCCTTGTCCACTTGTGGTTGATATGTAGCTACTACCCGCTCCGCTCGCTTGAGGCTGGCCTTATGTTTTAGTTCCCATTCATGGTTCAGAGACTCTTTGGCATAACGTCCTTCCCTGAGCCTGCTCGTGAGCTCCTGGAAGCGCTCCTTATGGTTGTGCTTCATGGCATAGCCGAAGCCATGAAACTTGCCCAAGTACTTGACTGGCAGAAGAATAGTCTTTAGCAGACGACATAGTTTACTTTGATCTCTGACTCACCTGCAATGCGCGCATGCTCCAGACTCAGGCCAAATCTGTCCTTAGTCATTCTCCAGCCATCCTCCGCAAAGTCGCCCAGGATGAGCAGTGCGGAGTTCGGTTTGATTTCGCTGTAATAATACTTGGGAGCAGCAAACCTGCCATTGCTCAGCTTCTGAAGAAGTGGCAGTATCTCGACGTAGAAGCCCACTTCATTGCTAAATAGATCATCAAATTGCACCGAATCGTATACATCAGGCAATATCTTTGGTGTTTTCTGTAGATATCAATGTGAAACGTTGTCTATCATCACGTATTCTTTGGGCTCTTATGTATCTCTTTTATAATCACGATTAGGAGATTGCTTAAGTTATATCGTTATCACGTGGAAAGCTTGTCTATTATAAGTTTTGTGCATCTCATAAACATAATACAGACTTTTATTTTGACATTCTTATCTACTATTTGATAACTTTCTCATCCATGCTTACCTTAATAACCAGTCTCCTCTGCTGCTGTTGGCCGGCATATTGAAATTTGATGTGAGCCTTGTAGCATATGGTTAACATGTAGGCCTCATCGGCGCCGATTACATTGATTTCGATGCTCTCCACCTGGAAAGTTTTCGCCAGCGCCTCGCTGTAGTTCTCCAATAGTCGTCCACTACGCAGGATCTGCGGCAAGACGCTTGTCGTTAGCCATTTGGTTTCGTTCTCAAGATTTAGCGACATTTTAGATATAGAAGTAGATACAGCCACGGTAGAAGTTTCCGACTGACAAGAGCTGAGGCTCTTGTGTTTCTTATGTATGAGATTATTCGTGATATCTGTCTCTTATCTGAACAGATATCACTCGTGCAGGCACATAGACATCTTAACCTATTGAGGCCTGTCGTGCCTTTTGTTCCATTTCCTACAGGCAAACACATTACAGCTCAGAGTTGATGTGGAAAATCATTTTCAAATATCTTCGAGATAACTTGTAGTTCGCGGAGGTAGGGATGGATTTAAATGATGTCTTAACATTGAAGCCTACAATTTGGGCAGGGGAATACACGCTAGCTAATATCAAGTTTGATTTTACTATTTTGACTCAAGTTGCTTCGCTTTAAAATTCAAAATTTAAACGCTATTTCCGTGCAATACCCATTAACAGTATTAGACAACTGGCCATGTCGCACAAGTGGTATAGGCTCTCAATCTCAGGCTCGTTCGCTAATCCGCAGAACTATGTTAACATATTGTCGAGTGCCAGGTTGTCTTCTATCACGCCAACGCAAACGCCAAAATATATTCCGGTTACAGGCAGCGTCAGCGATCTGAGCTTGTCCACCTTGTCCCGCATGTCGCTTTTGGGCAAACTAAGTGCCAAAAAGTTGGTAAAAAAGCAAACCCCAAAAGTGCCAAGGACCAGGCAAAAAAGAAATGAATCTTGCGTAGCCCAGTGCCAGCAGGGTCAATGCACGGCAGAAGAATCCCAGCTGATAAGAAACTTCATCAGGGAGGTGCGCTATCGTGAGCTCAGGCAGTACTATGCCAAAATGATTGCCGCCGAGAGAAGCTGGCCGTCGTATATACCGATCAGTTGCATGTGTTCCGGCTGCGGATTACCCAAGTTTAAAGTTCCGGCCAAGGATATACGTCACAATGTCTATTGTTGTGGACCTGAAACTATGTGCTAAGCGCAGCATTGGCCTCAAGTTTCTCGCTGCTGCACTTACCTGCCAAAGATGCTTCTCTTGACTCACCCACTCACCGGCTAGGTATCTGTGTGTGTGTGTGTGTGTTTAAGAGCAGCACCTTTGGCATATAAGTTTCTTAGCCATTGTACCGGCTTCCATCTGTATATATATAACATTTGTTCAACTATAAAAAATCACATGTGCGTTTGAAATTGGAGCTTTGTGTGGCTTGTCAACTGGTGCTGGTATGTCAGTACAGTCAGAAACTGGATTCGTTTTAGTCAGCACATAGCTCGAACATCTCGCTCTCATATTCTCCTAGTTGACCAGTTCAAGCCGCCATACCATGTATTCAGAGCCGCAACAGAGTACGAAAAACACACAGACGGAGGCACAGCCGGCACCGCCCCCGATATGTGTGCCCCTGCTCATGGTCGATGAGGATGGCAGGAGGCGGTACTGTTACCATGGCGGCAAATGCCGTTGCGAAATGTGCGAGAGAATACGGCAAGCACAGCAGGAGGAACTGGACAGGAATCTTGATGCATTTATACCACATTACCGTCTCAAGCTGGAACCGGCCATACGTCAGGTGAAGCACAAGCAATATAAGCTGGAGGCTAGTTACGTTTCGCCGGAATATGGTCTGATGCTGCTCAAGGATCATTTGCAGATAGTCAAGGATATTCCAACCTATTACCTGCCGGACAAGTATTATCAGAAAGATGCTTGGCGCGTTATTGGTCCGCTGGACAAGGGCACGCAAACCGAAATACTGATTGGCAACTATGGTGTCGATGGTTGTCCGTGTCCCGAGAAGACCGTTTGCTGGGATATCTAGTCCTGTAAGAATCGCTAGGGGAATAAAGACTCGAGATGAGTTTGTATTAAGCGCAGTTTTGAATTGATTTTCGGGTTGGGCATCCGTTGACAGGGCACACAAATGTCTTGACAGCTGGGTGAGCTGTCGCCTCCAGTCGAGTCTCAGATCAAAGTGGCTTATTGAGCAACTGATTTAAACAGACTTTTTCGTAACAAAATTTTCGAATTTCCCACACAATGCTAAGACGTATAAAAAGCGTGAAGCTGCTGCAATCGCCATTCTCTCTCGCCAGCAGACACCGCCAAATCACTACCAAAATCGACGAGCACACCCACGTAACTGGCGCGAATGCGTTCATGGCCAAAGGAGATGTACGTACGGAGAATGTGAACGTGTTGCCCAAAACCAAGTACGGCGGCATCACGCATGTAACGCTCCTCTGTGGCGAAACCATAATTGGCAAGCAGGGCGCCAAGTACGTGAAATCGCTGCTGTCCAGCGCCCGGGTGCCGGTCGATGTGCAGCGCATCTTTGTCGATCAGGGCACAGAGTATTACAATTCGGTGTTGCGCAATCGCGCTGCCATCCATGTGGACATTGTGCACGATGCGGTTTCGAAAAAGAAATCGCTGAAGATCTGCAACGATCTCGATCTGCAGGTCTTTCTGACCAACCTGCGCAGTTTTCCGGGCTTCAACTGCCGCTTCCCCAATGTGAACATCCAGCTGATCGCGCAAAACAACATGGGCAACTATGCCGAGCTGGAGTATTCACCAGTGGAGGGTGTGGTCGAGGGACTGCGCGTTGTCACCAGCCGGGACATCAAGCGGTTTCTGCGTTACGCCTTCAAGGCTGTGATGGAAAAGAAGCGACAAAAGGTCACCCTTGTGCACAAGTCAACCGAGTGGCCAAAGACTGAGGGTATCATGCTGGATATTGCACACAACCTGCAGAAGAAGGAATTTCCCGACATAGAGCTGGAGCCGATGGAGCTGGACAAATGCGTTGCCCGTCTGATGCTCGATCCGGGGTACTTTGATGTGCTGGTCACCAGCGATCTGTACGGAACCTTTATGGCTACCATTTGTAGTGCCATCTGTGGTGGTGCGAATCTGTTTTCCTCGACTGAGATTGGGGAACATCATGCCGTGTTCAAGCCGCTGCAAACGAAACTCTCGCTGACCAACTACAAGGTGCTCAGTCCGTATGGAATTGTGTCCACCTGCGTGGATCTGATGCATCATCTGGGCCATGATGATTGCGCCAATGCGCTCTGGACCGAAATGATTCGCACCATGGAATCGGGCATCAAGACGGCCGACTTTAAGGGCACAGACCGTGACGAATATGTCATATGCAATATTATGAATCAGCTGCGTTGCAACATGTTCACCGAATTTCGCAAGAACGATTGAGGAAATCAACTTTGTATTAAATTCATTTTGATTGATTCGGATACATAAAATTAACAAAATACATTTATGGGAACGAAAAACGATCAAAAATTGCGTCTCAAATTATTGCCGAGCTGCGCTTGCGAAAGGGAATAAAAGAATATCTGTAGTTGATATTTTTCTCTCTTTGAGACGCACCTGCTGGTCCTCGGTGCGCAGGTTGCTTTCGCTCGTCTGCATCTTCCAGTCGTCGGTAAAGGTGACCAGCTCGACGACTCTCTTAAAGGACACACTCTTCTTGACCTTTGGATGTGCGTGCAGCGTCTTGCCCTTCTTTTTATTGGGGTACTTCATATAATCGTAGACGATCGGCTCCTTAATATCGATCTGGGATGGTGTCGGAACGGAGACTTCCTTCAATTTTGTCGATCCACTGATTTCAGATAGAATTGGCTTCTCTTGTGGCTTTTCGATAGTATCCATGTTGCTAAGAATTTTGTTAAAAATTACATAATACGTTTGCTTGTGGTGCTTAAACTTCGATTTGGAACGCCAAACTCTCTCGATTGGCTAAATACACAATATTTTCGGACTAATATTAAAACAAATATTTTTTCGGTAAAACTATTTTAATTTTATTTAATTTTGGGAAATTCTGTTAGTCAAGTTAGTTGAGTGAAAAATGAATGACTAATTTGCTAATTTAAGAAATTTACAGACAAACGGAAATGGAAGTGAAAACCTTAGGAAAAGTATGATGGAAATTGTGGAAACTCTGATGGAGTTGTCTTACGTGACATAGGGAAAGCAATTGTTTTTCATTTCAGCTGAATGGATTGAAGGACCTGAAATTGTCTATTCGAGGAAATTGGCCGAGAAGTAACCCAGCCAAGCGCTGTTAATCATATTATGATAAGAGCAAATATGTGAATGCAAAAGTACTGCCCGTAATAATAATAATGGGCTATTATGTGTTATGGCAGTGCAATAAACTTTACTCCAATTTGCACGTACAATTTCAATAAATTTATGCGCAACCATTGCCAGAGGCAACAACTGTAAACAACTACATAAATTCCATACCAAAAACTCACAGAAAGAGACTGGGCCAGAGGCTGCGACTGTAATAGAGACCGTAGAACAATTGCTCCAACTTGGTTAAGGCCCTGCACAGGAAGGGCAGGGCGGCAATAAAATGCTTGCTCGCCCGAAGTGTAGCATATTTGCAGGCGCCAGGCAGAGCACAGCGGGCGTTGGGGAGATAAATAAATAAATTGGTACATGTGTAAGCCCCAGTCGATACTTTATCATCATGCAAATGGCTCGGCTGTCGGGCAATGTTAATAAGTACAATAAACGGCTGAGCAAACAGCAAGAACAACAACCACAAGCCCGCAACACAATGTACATGGGCAAATCCTTGCCGTGGGCTAAGGCCTTGCCATGCCAAATTATGGCTCCTTTGGCCAGTGTCTTCTGGCCACATTTTAATCCCATGGCAGACACACACACACACTCACATTTGTAGTAATTTATTTATGTCTATGCCAAATTACATACAAAAAGTCACTTAAATTAGAATGTTAGACATTGCCCACCCCCCATCTGCGCTCCCCCTCAGTGCATCTGCCGTTGCAGCTGACATCTTGTCCGATTCCGAGTCCAAGTCCGAGTCCGAGTCCAGCGGCACTTGCTCTGGGTCATTGCTCGGCGAGAGTCAGCTCGTTGTTGTTGCTGTTGCCGCTGGCCAGCTTTGCTTTGGCCGTGCTGCACATCATCATGAAGGTGACCAGGGTCAGCTCCAGCATGCGGCACACACAATAGGCGACCACATCCACCAGATGCTCCACTACGCCCAAATACAGACACATTTTCAATTGCACTTGCACTTTGTGTTCGCTTTCTTTAGTTTATTTAACTCGTTTGGCTCTTGGTTTCTATCGCTTGGCGTGTTGCCTGGACAATGTTTATGTTGTCGCCTTTTCCAAATGACAACACTTCACATTTGCGGCACGGTTTTCAGTCCTGTTGCTGCTGCTGCTGCCCGAACTGTCCTCGTCTCGTATTTCTCTACAAAACAATTGCCGAGTGGGCGGCACAATCGACAGCTTCCCAGTGTCGGTGCATGCGCAGCACCAATATGCTCTCTCGAGCTGTTCCACCTCTTCCTGTAACCATACACTGGACAAGTTTTGAGCTTTCAGATTGTATTCCAATCAAAATCGGACGTGAATTAGCTATATGGCTAATAACATCATATTATGTTCTAAGGAAATAAAGATATAATTATAAATAATTTTTTATAAAATATACATATTCAGACCCGGGTAGATGTGCTGTCCATGTGACGCAGTCATCAACGAGGATCCGGGCTCAAGTCGCAGGCTTATGTACGAATGTAGCTTTGTCCTGGCCTCTATTTATTAAATATTAAATAGTATTTAAAGAAATGTTAAATTGCAAGCTTATACCTAAATCCGATATGGCTAATATTATTATTTGTTATACCCTGAACCCATTGAAAATTAATAAAAGGCTATCATATTTGGTGTGAATGTATGTAACAGGCAGAAAGAAGCATGTTCGACCCCTTTAAGTATATATATTCGTGATCAGCATCAATAGCCGAGTCGATCTAGCCATGTCTGTCTGTAAGAGCTAGAGACAGTAATAATCTTGAATTATTTTAATTTTATTATTCAGATTTGTAAGTTTTTATCATATTAAACGCTTTGTTTTCGTGCTGATCCAAGTAGAAGTTTCTCTTTGACTCAGCCTTTACTTGAGACTAGCACAACAATTGTCGCGTGCCAAGCGGTTCAAACAGTTCGACAAAAGGTAGCCCAAAGGTAGTCCTAAGGACATTTACTGCCACTCCACTCCACTCGACATGAGGGACAGCGCCAGAGCTGGGCTCGAGCCAGAGTTTGCTGTGGCCATATGGTGCCGGTTGCTGGAGTGCGGCTCGATGCAACATATGGTCAGTAGACGGGAGGCACTAAGAAATTCAACAGCGAGTTAATTGATGTGCCAGTCGGTAGCCAAGAGCTCATCCTCGCTCTCACCCTCACGCTCAGGCCTCTCGCTTGCTCGCGCTGTTGTGTGCTGTTGAGCGTGAAAGTCACAAATTATAGAAAAAGAGATCACATGCCATGATAGCGGCAATTTGGCAAGCTATGACGCGTGCCAGGGCCAAGGCGAGAGCGGCGCAGCATGAATGAGACAAAGGTCAAAGTAGTAGGCGGGAGCGAGCGAGCGAGTGAGCGAGCGAGCAAGAGGGAGAGCGACAGCGAGAGAGGGAGAGCGCATCTAACCCCTAACTGGCCGCCCCTGTTGACGATCCTTGATATGGTAATGATGAAGATCCTGGCTGAGGGGCAAGGGGTCATTTGCGGGCCACACTCATACAAACTTGGTCAGCGCGGCGGTAACAATATTTGTGCAACTAGACACCGTGGCCCGAAGGGTGGCTTTGCGGCTAGCTGCAGCATAATCATTTCGTCTCTGGCCAGCTCGTGCCGCTCGCGCGTCAGTTGCAGTTGCGGCACAACATTCGAGCCGTGCAGAGCTGAAAACGCCAAAGAAATGAGCCGCTACTACTCATCGGAGGAGGACAACAGCTCACAGTATCTGGGCAGTCCCAACTACAATCTAACGCTGATGTCCAGCGGCACGGCGGCACAGCAATACAGCCAGGTGGCGTACTTGTCGCCCGACTGGCAATTTCTGGATGCCACAGGCAGTGCCTTGGAGCAGCAGCAGCACCCGATTGCCAGCTATGATGAGGCACACACCATGCAGATGCACCACGCACCGCCGCAGGCCGAGAGCCAGCAGCCGCTGAAGAAGCGCAAAATGGGTCCGCGCAGATTGAGCGTACAGTCCACGCCTAGCTCGCTGGTGCTGAGCCCCACGGTGCAGAAGCGGAGGCGGCAGGCGGCCAATGCGCGCGAGCGGAAGCGCATGAATGGCCTGAACGAGGCATTCGACAGGCTGCGCGAGGTGGTGCCGGCGCCCTCCATTGACCAGAAGCTGTCCAAGTTCGAGACGCTGCAAATGGCCCAATCCTACATATTAGCGCTGTGCGATTTACTGGACAACAATGGCGAGGACGTGGATGCCGCCGCCTACACGATCTTTGGCGGTAGCGAAAGCAGTTTTGAGCTGGCATCTTAAATGATCAAAATATGAATATTATATATTATATAAAGAGCGTTAATTGGTTAAAATTGAATCTAAGATTTAAGGTTTGTGATTTTCTTCTAACTGTAGCATTATAATAAAACATATTGCATTAAATTAAGAACATAATTTAAAGAACTTCTAATTTACTAAAGGCTTATTGAAAAAACATGTTTTAACTGCTTTTGCATTGAGCCAAAATTCTTATTTTACAAATGTTTTAATCCTGATAGATTTAAAACTGAGGGACTAAAGTTTACAGACTATACCGATCCTGATGCTGATACTGATCAAAAGCATACATTATGGGCTTATATGGGATATATATGTTCTTAAGCTTATTTCGTGTCTCTTCTTAAAATCAGCAGCTTTCTGTGCATCATAAAAATCAATTAGCTGGGCTACGCTTGAATAGTTCCGCACACTGCTCATAAATTAATTACAAAAAACTTCATTGATAGGAAAACAATAAGTTCGGCAAACCCCTAACGAAACGACCTTACAGAGCGGTATTTATGGCAATACCGGAATGTTATCCGCATATCGCACTGAAGCGTAACGCCCCTTCAGGTAACCGGGGTGCTTTTTTCAAAGCTACTTTGGCATCCTTACGTACAATAAAATGCAGTTGAGGGTTTAGTTGGTGTAAGACATTTTATGGTGCTATGGATGGTATGGATGATGTGTGAAGAAACTGGAGCTATGGTTAGATTGGTTCGGTATAGGTAGTCAGTGACTAGGTGATTATTTCGGCATGGGCCGCCTTGCTTTTGGGTATCTTTCAACTACCCGATGTTGTCTCTCGTAATTGTCTACTTCAAAGTCCTTCACGCTGAGCGAATACTTCGATGGACGAAAGCCCGGAACCGGGGCATGCAACACAATTACGTCTCGTTTCGAAGCATTGAAATTTAATTTAAGAAACGGATTACTTGCAAAGCGCTCAGTAGGGTGTCTACCATTTCGACGTTCATTAAAGTTGTTTCGTACTGGATAGCATTTGTGAGGCCGTTCTTGAGATTCTGGAACTGGGTAAAATTCATCTTCCGTACTCGGCGCGTTATATGATATGTGATTGTTCAGTATGCCCATTGTCTTCTCTGCCAAAGTTGGCGGCACCCGGAATGAGCACAGTATAGCCAGACCTTCGCGTGTTTGCGATTTATTTACATGCTTCGGATTGACCTTTTTGTATACCTCATAGCCGCCATTCTGATGATTGCTGACATTAATGTGTATCTCATCCTGCATTTCGTACACGTACTGGCGTGCTTGGCCGCCGAGGGCCTGGAATTCTAGGTAATGCCACCGATCAGATTGCAAGAGTTTAATAATTTATGAACTTACTGTTTAGGCCGTCGTCGTCGAATTTGTTTTGACGCTTGCTGAGCAAACGTGGCTTAGCTCCCACGGGCGACTGTGACCTTTGTTTTAACTGTTCGCTCTTTGCCACAGGAGTTGCAGGACTTGCAGCCTTGGCAGTTTTGCTTTTATTGAATACGGGTGGCTTGCATGAGCAGATTTTTCCCATTTTTTTGGCTCCTTTTGCGGGCTTGGCCTTAGCTGACGGACCACTAGTTTCAGTTTCTTTTGAGATTGCATTTTTTTCTTCATTCGCTTTTTTCTCTCTTAGCTTTTCTGTTTCCAAGGAATCTTCAGAGCAATTGCATTTCTTTCGATTGATTCTATCAGTCAAGGTCATGTCAATGTCCGTCTCAACGGCCGCCTCGCAAAGACAAGGAGCCCTTATAGGTGCCTCTGGCTCTGGCGCTTCCTTTGCGCGCTCGAGCTTCTCTGCATCGTCTTCGCTTGTTGCGCACTCACAATCAAGCATTACCTCCTCCTCAATTTTTAAGTCTTCCTGATCGGTAAGGGGCTTTTCAGGTACAGTTTCTGGCTCGTTATTTTCAGGTGGATACTCTATATCTCGATTAACCGGATCTGGCTGATTTTCTGGACAAGCACAGTCCAACTGATCTTTATAGGGCTCTGTATTGCCGTCATAACGAGCTATCTGATTTTCTGGGCACGGACAGTCCAGTTCATTGTTATAGGTTTCCTCCTTAGGAGGAGCTACCTGATTTGCTGGATAAGGGCCTTCTAGTTCATCTTTATAGGGTTCCTCCTTAGAAGGAGCTGTCTGATTTTCTGGACAGGGGCAGCCTAGATCATTTTTATAGGGTTCCTTGTTACGATTTGCTGGACAGGTGCAGTCTAGATTACATTTAAATGGTTCCCTCTTGAGATTTGCCGGACACTGACAGTCTAGATCATCTTTATAGGGTTCCTTTTTATAAGGATCTATCTGATTTGCTGGACAGGGGCAGTCTAGATCATCTTTATAGGGTTCCTTTTTATAAGGATCTATCTGATTTGCTGGACAGGGGCAGTCTAGATCATCTTTATAGGGTTCCTTACTACGATTTGCTGCACAGGTGCAGTCTACATTACATTTAAAGGTTTGTTTCCTGCGGTTATATTGATCTGGCAGATTTGCTGGACAGATACAGGAATCATAGTGCTCTTGTTGATTTGCAGGTTCATTATTCTTATCTTTGTTAAAATCAGCGTCCGTCCTGTTGTTCTCCTGGTAGGTCTGATCCTTATCGCGGTTATACTCTTGTCTTTCTTGGTAGCCATCTTGACGGGCCTGGCTTGCTGGACAGATACAGTCATCATTTGTATCCTCTCTTCTTCCACGGGCATCCTGGATGTTCTGGTATTTAGGACAAATAGGACCCTTGTCGGGATCTCGTCCGTCGAAATTTGTATTGTTCTGGTAATTTGCAGGACATTCATTGTAATCCTGTTCAGATTGGTATTTTGATATAGGATCCTTACCACGATTATACTCATCGTCTCCTCTGGTCTGGTATTTATCTGGTACATATTCCTTATCGCGGCTGTTACTTTGCCTTCCTCCATAGTTTTCCTGTGGACATTCACAGTTCATATTGCGGTTAGGATTGTCGGTTGGTTTTTCGTAATCTTCCTGAATATTCTGATCTTTTAAAGACAAACGGTCCTTTTCACGATTATATTCATCGTCCGTAGTCCCTTCTCCGTAGTCATCCCTGTCGGTCTCGTAATTTGCGGGATACTCATTGTTTCTTTGACTGTTTCGTGTACTTCTACCCGATGCGCACGTTGCGTTACAACTATCTTTACAAAGATTATAAGGTTCGTACCGATTGTAGCCCTGTTCATCCATCCTAGATCGTTCTTGTTTTTCGACGCTTTGCCGATTTGATCTATATTTGGAGCTGTTTCGCGAAATATACCCTTCATTGGCCCGTTGAGATTGCCTTTGCGAAGGCTCCACCGGCTCGGTCTCGGGATAAAAGGACTGACTTTGACGCCTAGACATTTCTCCTTTATTGCGGCTTTGCCGATTTGATTGCTTTCGCGGAGACACTACCGGATCAGTCTCAGGATAATAGTCCTGACTATTATGTTTTGACCTATATGATTTTTCGCGGCTTTGTCGATTTGAATTATTTCTAGACTCATCGATTCGTTGAGATTGTCTTCTCGGAGGCTCCATCGGATCATTCACGTAGTCCTGGTCATCATTTCCGGATCTCTCCCCTTTATCGCGGCTTTGTCGATTTGATCTATTTTGAAAACCGTCTGGCGAAGTGTACCCTTCATCGCCCCGCTGAGATTGCCTTTGTGGAGGCTCCATCGGAACAGCATCTGAATAATAGTCCTGACTATTATGCCTTGATCTTTCTGTTTTATCGCGGCTTTGCCGATTTGATCTATTTTTAGAAACATCTGGCGAAGTGTACCCTTCATCGCGCCGTTGAGATTGCCTTCGCGAAGACTCTACCGGATTAGACTCGGGATAATAGTCTGGATTATCATTCCTAGATCTCTCTTGTTTTTCGAGACTTTGCCGATTTGATCTATTTTTAGAAACATCTGGCGAAGTGTACCCCTCATCGTCCCGTTGAGATTGCTTTCGCGGAGACATTATCGGATCAGTCTCGGGATAATAGGCCTGACTCTCACGCCTAGATCTATCTCCTTTATCGCGGCTTTGCCGATTTGATCTACTTTTAGAAACATCTGGCGAAGTGTACCCATCATCGCCCCGTTGAGATTGCCTTCGCGAAGACACTATCGGATCAGTCTCGGGATAATAGTCCTGATCGGGTTTACTCCTTGACATACTTCTTGGTGTTTGTAGTCTTGATTGTTTTCCCAGGATGTCTTCATCGGGTAGTTCTAGGTAATCTTGACCTCTTTCATCTTCACGACTTCGGCGCGTTGGTCTTTCGGAGCTCCCTCTAAAGTCATCACTTCTTTGCCAATTTCTGTTTTCTGGGCCCTCTCTAAGCCCATCGTCATCATAATCGTTCTGTCTTCCCGAAGGGCACATTATCATGTTCTCCTTGGGCGACTTACTTAATCTATTTCTGTTATTTGTACAGATCATCCTTTTGGGACTCCGCATTTGTTCGAACGATGGTCGATTGGACACCGCTCTAGACCCTGCTGCAGATGCAACCCTTGAAGTTCGCTTTGATTCAAGTCTAGACGATGCGATTGGTACATCCGTTCTTGTGTCTTCCATGTTGTAACACGTTCCATCAGTGCAAATAAGATCGCGGTCGTTTTCCTCATACACCCTGCTACTCCTAACGGGACAGCTATGATCATCGCACGACTTTCGAGGGGGTGAGGTTGGCACATACATTTCAGATTCTGGCTCTAGGTCTGATAATATTGGCTCCGGTGCCGGTCTCGTAGTGGAGGCATTTGGGCAACAGGTGCAAACTCCTTCACCTTGATAAGTTGGCTGTGCGCTCAATTGCTGAATAAATGGAAATGTGGCGGGGGCGTTAAAACTGTTATTCCTTGAATATTTGTAGTTTTGATTCTTAACGTCGTTTGAATTGCGACCAACATCTCGTGAGCTTCTACCACAGCGATAGTCCTTCTCCCTGCCATCACTCATTCTATGATGCAGTTTTTGGTTTCTAAAATAATTATTTCTCTGCCAGTCATCCGTATCGTAATATGTGTCAGTGCCATGTGAGTGCCTTGTCTTGTTTCTGTATCTTCCAGTCAAAATCTTTTTTCTGGGAGGACCGCAAGCTTTGGCCCCATTCGAATCGACATATAAATTGTTATCGTCATCTAACGTACTTGGAGTGGCACCCATTTCTGGCCTATATGCAGCCGGACTTTGATCATAGCTACGTCTATCAATTCCACTGCTGACACTATAGTTGCTGTTGCGGCATTGGTCTTTCTGATAGGGTGACTTCCACTGTCTCCCAACATAATCGTCATCTTCATGGTCGTGATAAGAATTTGATGTGGAGATCCATCCATCGTTACCAGAAGCTACTCGGTTTGGAAGCTGATTAGTTCGTATATCATGTGGAGGCAAAGGCAGTTGTAAGGATTGCTTTTTGTCTTGGGAGACAAGCGATTGCAGCACAGAGCTTGTAATGCCATCTTCATTCGATGCGGAAGTGATCTGAAAATCAACCTTTTCGCTGCGGATACTGTTCTCGCTGCTGCTCAGCAGAAATGCATCCCCAACGAGGCAGTTGATTTGGTCGCTGCTGACCTGAGTCTTTGACTGTAATGCAGATATATTATATTTTTGTAAATCTTCTTGGGCGCCTATGCAATTATATTACATACCTCCATGGCTTTAACACTAACACTGTGCTCCATTGCTTCTTTCAAAAACTCCAAATCTGCAAAGAAAGATTGTCGAGGGACATAGTGGTATCCTCCTAGTTTGCTACGTTTAATGGCTAATAGTTCTGTAGCATAATAATAACGAAGCGATAAAATCTGCAATTTGATCTGATCCACGGTTAGCTTGTTCTTAAAAAATTGTGATATTCTTAACCAGGCTCTCTCCTTCAACGCCAAATTCTTAAATCCCGATGATTTTGGATTCCAAAGACAATCATTGGCGCGATAAAGACGAATAAGTTTGTATGTGCCATTTATGTCGCTTTTACGCTTTCGATTGGAGCCCATGTTTCTGCCAAATAAGAACTTCGTAAACTAACCAACCTTTACCAGCAATCTACCATAACATAGTGCCTTCTTAGGCTATGGGTACTGGTCTATTACGTATTGTACAATTTCAAATTAATTTTGTATGCTAAATGTAAAATGTTGTTAACGCTTCAAAAACAAATATATGTATGTGGAAAATAAACGAAATTTTGGCAATTAATTCAAAATCGAGTGTTGGAAAAGTTCTGAAAACCAGCCGATAACGATACTTGCCGAAATACATTCACTTAACGAAGCAGCTTAAATAAAAAGTGTACTTTTCTATCCTACTTAGATAATTACTTTATTATGCAGCCAGGAACGTTCATGAACGAATTATAAATAGTGTTCTTTAAGCAATACACAATTATCTACATATATCGAGCACTGTCAACACTTCAGCTGCCAGGCTGTGCAATTTATCGAGCACATATCGGTTTGCCGCCACAATCTATCGACCATCTATCCAACAAATATTTTTTTATTCAACGTGATATTGAACCTAAAAAATACAATTTAAGTGGAACAAATTTAAAGGCACAACGCATGAGAGTGCATTTAACAGGCTGCAAAACATTCCGGGCCAATAAACAAGCAAACTTTATTAAAATACGGCCCATTGCAGTAACAGTAGCAGTAGCAATAACAACAACATTTGCAACCGATTGATTGTGATTGTGACTGGTGTCTGGTATAACCACAAAAATTTTCTCTGCATTTCGAGCCCCAATTTCGCTGGGAGAACGAGCACTTCGAAAAACCGAAGAGCGGCGGGACGGTACAACAAAGTCACAATCAGTGCTTGGTGGCTTCGTCATCGTCGTTTTATTTGTTCGAATGTTAATTTTTGTAATTACATCGAATTTTAACACTGAACATCAAAGTTGAAGTAACACCAACTATAATATAACATTGCGACAATTGTATGCGAGATTAAGCTCCAAGTAAAATAAACTTGGCTGAATAAGCATTAGCTGCTGTTGATATTGCAACAACAACAAGAATTGTACAAAAGTGTGTGGGTGACGGAACTGCATTAAAATGTCTGCGGAACGCGAAATACCCGCTGAGGACAGTATCAAAGTCGTCTGTCGTTTTCGGCCGCTGAATGACAGCGAAGAAAGGGCCGGCTCAAAGTTTGTTGTCAAGTTTCCAAATAATGCGGAGGAGAATTGCATATCCATAGCGGTAATTAAACAAAATATATCCAATCAGATTAAACGATACATACACACATACATAAGTACACAATACACACATATTTCTGCGTGCCGTTGCGGTTCTGTGGCGGTGACGTCATGCCGAACATTGTCTAACATTAGCGCAGTACATTAGCCTTTCCTTACCGCCACAATTACACAAACACATACACGCATACATGTAGTACAACTGAGTGAAAGAGAGTAGCAATTATATACATACATCTACGTACGTATGTGTGTATTATAACTAATTAGCGATCAAATTTTTGCGCGTGTCTTGTGCAATTTTGGATTTTGTTGCCAAATAACTGTAAAATTGTTACTACACTTGCGACATTGGGGCAAAAACAGAAGTCGTTCAATTGATTTTTCGCGCATAGTGGCAACCTGGCCTATGTGTCTGTGTGTGTGTAACCAGAGCCACCCACTCGTGTTTGCCGGGCATGTTTTTCTTTTATATTTGCATTGCTATTTGACTTGATATGGCAATATATGCACAATCTACCTGTCTACCAATACGCCCAACTTCAGCTCCACCTCTACCAACATAGACCTAGGTATGTACTCTATGTGTGTGTGTGTGTGTGTGTGTGCGCGTGTATGTTCAGTAAGCTTTGGCCCCAAAACAAAACATCGCCCTCAAACGTTGCTGCTTGCCACCAGCTGCTGCCCGTTAAATGAGTCATGCACGCAAGCCCGCAAAAAAACTGTAAATAATAATGTAGCAAGAACAACATGAATATGCATGTTTTCTTTAAAGACATTTGGATTTTACTGAATATTATTAATGGCCCAAAAGTTCAGCTGTCTACCATTGTGTCCGCCATGATAAAGTTAGTTGCACACATTATACATATATCTAAATGTTAATAAATATATATGTACATATATGTATATGTATGTGTGTGTATACCCTTGCTTAGCGAAGCGGCATAAGCAGCTTGTCAAATATTCTCACCACAGTTATACCCTTTTATTGTAACTACAATTGTTAGTCAATGACCGATAAAGTTTGTTACGTGTGCTGTTAATAATGTCAACTCTTCAAATGCCTACAACAATGTTTCGCTTTATACACATTTAACATTTTATAGCTTTTGTTTATTACTCTGCATTTCCCGGTACATATTTGTTTAGACATTGACTAAGTAGAATCGGGTTACAAGCGAAAGTTGGGTGGATTTAAAATGGAATTGCAGTTCTTAATTAACAGCTGTGAATAACTGGCTAAAAGTCAGCATGGAATGCTGGAAATATAAAGCAATCTAAATATAGATAGACAACTACAGAAGTTTTACATTCAAATAATTATCTTAATATTCTGATAACCATTAGATCTATGTCACTGCTGTTCTCTCTCTAAGCTCTTTGGCGGGAGCCTCATTTGATCACGGTTTACAGGGTATTTTTCGGTCGACTACTTCAGGGGCAATCCTTACCTATTATTCATATCTGCCCGTACTGTTGCTCTCTTTTAGCTCTTTCTTATACTACTGCTCGTTATTCATTAATTTCGAGTTCCACTCATTTGCTGTGCTTCTGCCTCTTGATGCCTCTGCTCATCTTATAATTACGAGCCGTTTCGCGGTGATGCGTTGAAAATTATTTGAAAGCTGTTTTGTGGATAGAAAGGGGATTGGGGTTGCTGACATAGACACATGTTGTGGCCGGCATGAAGACACAAGACAGCAGACACAAGACACGAAAAATATTTTCACTTTACTACAAAATTAGTGGTTGTTTTTTTTTTAGGGCAAGGTATATCTGTTCGACAAAGTCTTTAAGCCGAATGCGTCGCAGGAGAAGGTGTACAATGAGGCGGCCAAATCGATTGTCACGGACGTGCTGGCTGGTTACAATGGAACGATATTCGCCTATGGTCAGACATCCTCCGGCAAGACGCATACAATGGAGGGCGTCATTGGCGATTCGGTGAAGCAGGGTATAATTCCGCGCATTGTGAACGACATTTTCAATCACATTTACGCGATGGAAGAGAATCTGGAGTTTCACATTAAGGTTTCGTACTATGAAATCTATATGGACAAGATCAGAGATTTGCTCGATGTATCCAAGGTGAATTTGAGCGTGCACGAAGACAAGAATCGTGTACCCTTTGTCAAGGGTGCCACGGAGCGTTTTGTCTCCTCGCCCGAGGACGTCTTTGAGGTGATCGAGGAGGGCAAATCCAATCGTCACATTGCCGTGACAAGTAAGTAGAGATAATATAATAATCTAAAGCAAAAGGTAAATCTAATTAATTTAATCTCTTATAGACATGAATGAACATTCATCGCGTTCCCACTCGGTGTTCCTTATTAATGTAAAGCAGGAGAATCTGGAGAATCAAAAAAAGCTTTCCGGCAAGCTGTATCTGGTGGATTTGGCTGGTTCCGAAAAGGTATCGAAAACAGGTGCTGAGGGCACAGTCCTGGATGAGGCGAAGAACATTAACAAGTCGCTATCGGCGCTGGGCAATGTCATTTCGGCGCTGGCGGATGGCAACAAAACGCACATACCGTATCGTGACTCGAAGCTGACGCGTATCCTGCAAGAGTCGCTCGGCGGCAACGCACGCACAACGATTGTCATCTGCTGTTCGCCGGCCAGCTTTAACGAGTCGGAGACGAAATCTACGCTTGACTTTGGTCGGCGTGCCAAGACAGTGAAGAATGTCGTGTGTGTCAACGAAGAGCTTACCGCCGAGGAGTGGAAGCGTCGCTACGAAAAGGAGAAGGAGAAGAATGCACGGCTCAAGGGCAAGGTGGAGAAGCTGGAGTTGGAGCTGGCACGTTGGCGTGCCGGTGAAACGGTCAAAGCGGAGGAGCAAATCAACATGGAGGATCTCATGGAGGCCAGCACGCCCAATCTCGAAGTAGAGGCGGCTGCGCAAGCTGCTGGTGCCGCAGCAGCGGCGGCAGCTCAACGCACTGCCATTGCCAACATGTCCGCCTCGGTGGCAGCTGATGAGCGGGCGCGATTGGCCACGGAATGCGAGCGCCTCTATCAGCAGCTGGATGATAAGGATGAGGAAATCAATCAGCAGAGCCAGTATGCGGAGCAGCTGAAGGAGCAGGTTATGGAGCAGGAGGAACTTATTGCGAATGCGCGACGTGAATACGAGGCGCTGCAATCGGAAATGGCGCGCATACAGCAGGAGAACGAATCGGCCAAGGAGGAGGTTAAGGAGGTGCTGCAGGCTCTCGAGGAGTTGGCCGTCAACTACGACCAGAAGTCGCAGGAGATCGACAACAAGAACAAGGACATCGATGCCCTCAACGAAGAACTGCAGCAGAACAAAACTCAATTCAATTCCACCTCGACGGAGCTGCAGCAGCTGAAGGACATGTCATCGCACCAAAAGAAACGAATCACTGAAATGCTAACCAATCTGCTGCGCGATCTGGGCGAGGTTGGCCAGGCCATAGCGCCCGGCGATTCCGCAATCGATCTCAAGATGAGTGCCCTGGCGGGCACCGACGCCGCCAAAGTGGAGGAGGACTTTACTATGGCACGTCTGTATATCAGCAAAATGAAAACGGAGGCAAAGAACATTGCGCAGCGCTGCGCTAACATGGAAACGCAGCAGGTGGACTCCAACAAAAAGATATCCGAGTACGAAAAGGACCTGGGCGAGTATCGTCTGCTCATCTCGCAGCACGAGGCGCGCATGAAGTCGCTGCAGGAGTCGATGCGCGAGGCCGAGAACAAGAAGCGTAATTTGGAGGAGCAGATCGATTCGCTGCGCGAAGAGTGCGCCAAACTGAAGGCCGCCGAGCATGTGTCCGCTGTGAATGCCGAGGAGAAGCAGCGTGCTGAGGAGTTGCGTTCCATGTTCGACTCCCAGATGGATGAGCTGCGCGAGGCGCACACTAAACAGGTGTCGGAGCTACGCGACGAGATTACCGCCAAGCAGCACGAAATGAATGAGATGAAGGATGTGCATCAGAAGCTGTTGCTGGCGCATCAACAGATGACCGTCGACTACGAGAAGCTTAAGCAGGACGAGGCAGACAAATCAAACAAATTGCAGGACATTATATTAACCAACGAGCGTCGCGAACAGGCGCGAAAGGACCTCAAGGGTCTGGAGGACACAGTCGCCAAGGAGCTGCAAACGTTGCACAATCTGCGCAAACTCTTCGTACAGGATCTGCAGGTAGGAATTCATCCCGTATATCATATTTATTGATGCACTCTAACTTATTTTTGTATCATCTGCCGCACGTAGCAACGCATTCGCAAGAATGTGGTGAACGAGGAGAGCGAAGAAGATGGCGGCTCGCTGGCGCAAAAGCAGAAGATCTCCTTCCTGGAGAACAATCTAGACCAGCTGACCAAGGTGCACAAGCAGTTGGTGCGCGACAACGCCGACCTGCGATGTGAGCTGCCCAAACTGGAGAAGCGTTTGCGCACAACAATGGAGCGCGTCAAGGCGCTGGAAACGGCGCTCAAAGAAGCCAAGGAGGGCGCGATGCGGGATCGCAAACGTTATCAGTACGAGGTTGATCGCATTAAGGAGGCGGTGCGACAAAAGCATCTGGGCCGACGAGGACCCCAGGCACAAATTGCCAAGCCCATACGGGCTGGCCAGGGTGCTATTGCAATTCGCGGCGGCGGCGGCAGTGGCGGTGCCGCCGGCGGTGCCACAATGGCTCAGGTCAGCGCTGTTAACTCCTAAATCGCCGCCCAGTTCAGTACAGTTTCAGTTTAGCTCCGCTTTAACCTATTTAACCATAAAATAATTGCCTTCGCTTAAAGAATGTCGTTTTGCGATCATGTGCAGCGCTTTATATATAAATATAAATAATTAAATAAATGAGAGGAAAGTAAAAAAGAGGAAATTATTAACTAAATTTTACAACAACAAGAAACCCCACAGATATTTAAGGACACATAAATAAGTTTAAGCATATTTATAAACTTTTCAAATATAAACTTAAATAAAAGTCGCAGACAATTTATGCTAGACTTGTTCTTTTTTGTTGTTTGGTTTTGTTTTCTGTTACAGTTGTCCAATAAAGATATTGTTCCCCCGTTGTTAATGATCCCCCTTTTGTTGTATATTGCAGTTGGTTTAGTTTATAAACGCATATTGTAGCCCATGCCATCCACATTATGGCGCTCGCATTCGGCAGGCTCGCACACTTGCCACTCATACCAGACCTTCTCCGGGTCCACGCAGCGCCAAAACTTGATGGAAATTGTTTCGCCCGCCTTGATAGTGCGCGGTTGCTGCAGAGGTTAGATATATCATTTAGTACAGTTAAAACATGCTGTAGCTGCTAAGACCTACCGTTGGAAAGAACATGGGAAACCAGGAGAACATGCCCTGCGTGTGCGTCAGAGGATTAATGCTTAAGATTATATTCTTATACAGCACAGTATCAAAGTAGCCGCCAATGCCGTGTAGCACACAATCCTTCTGAGCTGTAAAGGACAGCTGTTTGTGTCGCGTATTATCAATATCTTTTGCCCGATTGGGGTGCGTAAATTCAAACAGCGCCTTAGGCTGATCAATGTGGTAAATGTTCTTGAGCAGCACCACGTAGCCACAGTTGAACGCAGGCACGGTGGAAGTCAGCTGGCAGACATTATTATGCAGAACAGCTGACATAAGGGGATTTATATACGAAGTCGATTTACAGGGTATGCTAATGCCATTTGGCTTGAGCAGTTTTAAGGCGCCGTCGAGACACTCGGGCGACAGCTCGTTGTCGCCAAAGGAGCCGAGCAACTCGGAGACAAGCACGTCTGCTAATTCAGGAGGCGAGAAGTCACGCATGTCCTTGGAGAATATGTGAACATCTGCAATGGCAAATTAGATGAGTGTATGATATGAGGGCTATTGTGCGCAATCTACACCTTTTTTTGACCAAAGTGTCTTGACCATGTTGGAAAGTGTACGTATGGCACTGGGATTCTTTTCTATGATATAGACGCGTACTTTGCGTTTAGTAATCTCTGCAGCATTAAATACGGCACGCGCCAAAGGACCACGTCCGCCGCCCAAGACCATGATGACCGTCTGCGAAAGGAAAGAATATTCATATAAAGGGTAATATTGGGTTATGTTATTTCCTTGGCTTACCAGCTTTCGCTTGGCCTCCTCATCGCTAACACGATCTAGGAGCACCTGCTGTATGGCCTCCTGGTAAAGCTTATACTTGACAGGATCTGTCTCAAAAATTTCATACGTGTACGTATCCAGATTATCACACAGTGGCTGCAGCGGTATCTCCAACATGTTCTCATAGCTTAAATAAATAAATATAAATTAATATATAAAATATAGAGTATTCAGAAGCATACGTGAAATGCTACTCACTTGTTTAGAGTGTGCGTGTCGCCATGATCGTTGATCAGCTTCTTGACATATTCTGCATACTGGGAAATAGCATTGTCATTGGCATTTGTGGAGACTATAATGTTGGCGCGCACGGAGATGAAGTGGCCCACAATGGCCTGCCACTCCTTGTGCAGAACATAGTAATTGGAGCGGTTCAGCACAAATAAGCTGGATGGAATAATAATGGCCTCGATAGGCTCGCCGAGCCAACGGCGCACGGTCTCACGGCTGGGACGATCCGAGTCGCTGAGCTCGAGCACAACTTTCACCTTGCCGTTGTGCTTAACGGCAAAGCGCAGTTCGTTCCACCAGCTCCAGGGATCAACCTGTTGGGCCTCTTCAATGTCTTTTTCAGTCGCATCCTTGCGGTGCTCAAAGGTGGCCAGTTCGGGATTAGTAATGGGCACATGTATAAACCAGTTGCCTACACAACAAAACATTTAATTTGTGTTCTAATAATTGACAGCGTGCACAAACCTTTCGTCCTCGTCTTGATTATATCGGCCAAATTGTCATTCTTTGGCCCTCTTAGACGTACCATTAAGCTGCCATTATTCTGCAAGTGCTCTGCCCAGGTGATGTCGCGCAGCAGCATAGCTTTCGAATACTCACGTAGCTTGGCATTGGGCGAATCCACATCCACGTCGGACACTGCAAAAATCACTTTGGAGTTCCAATCAACGGCATTTAGCACGGTTGCCGGATAGGTTGGATCCGTTTCAAATGGATCCATGGGCAGCATATTTGCATTAATCGATGTTGCGACCACATTGTAGTTATTCGCATGCGCTTTTTGTATTAATTTAGATATGCTGCTAATGCCCTCCTGATGCAGACAAACGTAGTAATTCATTTTAATCAATCAAAAAGCGTGTGCCGGCTTTCGGTGTGCACACATCGAAAAGAAATGTAAATAAGCGAGATATCGATAACAACGATATGCCGCCGATTGTTGCGCTCTGCAAAAGTGTATACACACTAATAAATATTTACCATAATTGATTGTCGTACCGTGTGTGTGGTCGTTAGATAGCAATGGACATTTTAGCCTCTTTGGCTTTTATTTATTTATAATAGTATGTAATTATTGTTGTACATGGCTAATCGTGATGTTTTCTCCAAGATCTTGCCCAATGTTAAGTTGGCAACGCGCTATGATGCAGAAGGGCGCGAAATCCAGGTGGGTTCCCTTAATTCGTCTATGTAAACAAAAGCTATAAATTGAGTTCGGTTTTGTGCAGGTTGAACGCCGTGAGGACACGGATGCTGCCGCCAAGGAGCTGGACACATTTGATATGCTCGTAGCTGCCGGCTACTATCGAGCACGCATCAAGGGCTTATCTGCATTCGACAAAGTTGTGGGCGGCATGACCTGGTGCATTGAATGCTGCGACTATGATGTGGATGTCGACTTGCTCTTCCATGAGAACCTCACAATTGGCCAAAAGATGTAAAAGCTAATATATCCTAGACGTGAGCATAATGTGAATAACCGAAGTCCGTTTTCAGAGCGCTTGTAGAGAAAATTGTTGCGGTTCTGATAGACATGAAATGTCCCCATAGCCTGGAACCGCATCAGGTGCAGGGCCTGGAGTTTCTCGCCATACATCCCGTTATCCAGTGGCTTGTTAAGACCTCGGTAAGTTCTGAGTCTCTCAAGAGTTTGCCCATCTCAAATCATCAAATAAATGTACATACATGCAGGTTGAAAATCGCGAAGAACGCGGGCAACGCTTGAAGAGATTTGCTATTGGTCAGTTTCACCACGACTATCAGTATAAAAGCGACAAGGATAATCTCACAAAAATACGCTACGCTGCTGTAAACATAAAAGCTATTCAGGTTAGCCAAGTTTTCTTTAACTAACATAAGCAAAAGGTTATAAATTTGTTAAATCCCTTGCAGGAGCTGTACAGTCCCAAAAGACAGTTTGAGCGTCAGGAGGCCAGTGGCGACGATGATGCCTTACGCGTGCGTTTAACGTTATTGGAATACGGCGATGCGGGCCCAGCGGCAAGGCAAAATATGGAGCAGCAGGTGGGATCTAACACAGGGGAAATTGAGGTGAGCTACCGTAGGTCATTTATATGTTAAAGTTATTGTCATCTTACAATTCAACTGCAGCCTGATCTGGAGAGGAAACTGCAACAGCTCACGTTCACAAAGGAGCCCTCACCAGCACCGCTAAAGCGTATCGATTTGGATCCCGTCGCTCGTAGCGCTCTGCAGCAGCATTACGCTGAATTCAAGCTGGAAATGGAGACGGATGCACAGGAGCTGAAGTCGCAAAATCAACAGAAACGCTTGGAGGCAGCCAAGATAGCGCTGGAGCACAAGATAAAACGTTACGGCAAAGAAAACGAGCAACTGGCAGTGTCTTTTGAGACGCAAAAGCAACAAACCGAACAACAAGAGCAAAAGCTACAAACGCTCAAAGCAGAGCTGGACTCGTACAAGCAAACAGAGGCGAATGCCGACCCTGCGTAAGTGTTTGGTTGACTGTGGTGCTATCAAAGTATAATTATATGGCTTTCAGTTTATTGGAAAAGGTGCGCGGACTTCTGCAGCAACACGACGAGATGAAGAAGAGCGAGGCGGAATTCAAGGAAAGTTGCCGCACAGATCTGGCCAATTTGCAGCAGCAAATCGAGTAAGATTGTTTCAGCTCTATTTGACATGATTAATTTAACAATATTTAATTGAAGCGAACTGGAGACGTTTAATGCACAAGATGCGGAGGCACAGGCCGCAGCCATAGCAAGCGAGCAGCAGCGTTTGCAGGAGCTGCGTTTGCATCTTGCAAAGCGCAATCGCGGCATTGTAGCCATTGAGCGCAAACTGGACGCAATACCCGATCGCACAGAGCTGGCCCAGTACCAGCGACGCTTCCACGAGCTGTACAACGAGATGAGTGCCAAACATCTAGAAACTAAGCAATATTATACACTCTACAATACACTTAACGACAAGAAACGCTACCTGGAGAAGGAGCTGTCGCTGCTCAACTCCATTTGCGAGGCCTACAACGAGGGCATGCTCAGTCCACACGGACGTGAGGATTTCATAAAGCAATTCGAGACCATTGTGGACGGTGTGAAGAGTGCCCAGGACAAGGTGCGCCACAAATACAACGAGGAGCGCATGCGCCGGGATGAGCTGAACGAAGAGCTGCTCAGTCTTCTCGAGTTACAGCGACAGTATGCGGCCGCTGTCAAACAGCTCACCCGGGAGTGCCAACGTTGCGATCAGCTCCAACAGCATCTCAAGTCAATTAAAAAGTAACCGAACAAAACGCATACGCTATTCCAATAATAATATTGTACATTTAAATTATGTTTAACCAACGGCTAAATATTACTCATTAAGTTGCGGCAATTTTTATTTGGAGCATTGAAGTTATATGATATACAATATTCTCAATTATCCACTGCCACGGTCTAAAATCTATGCACGAATTATTCTTGAAAACTGTTTCCATACTCCAATATTTTCCAAAAGAGCTATTAGCCGATTTTAAGTGTGTTTTGTAAAAGTTTAAATAATTATAGTGTGCTATTGCTACGAGTGCATTTAAGTTAAGTCAAAATAATTTGGAAAATAGAAACAGAATTTAAAAAACTTACCCATTTTTCAACCTAATAATGTGAGTGTAAATATATAGCACTAGCTGCTATTACGCGGCTTTGCCCGATTGTTATTTATTGCTTCTAATTGTAGATATCAATATTTCGCGCAGTGCTCGCCTGTGAAGCTAAAAAAATGCAAGTTTCGTTCAGTAACCTGAATTTGCCATCAATGAGGGTTAAATATGGAACTAATTTTGACTTATTTTAATATTTTTGAATATTTTATAATTTTGTTTATTCAAATCTTAAATAACGGCTGAGGTTGCAAAGATAAATATGATGGTATATTTAAAATTTCTATATAATATGTATGTCGTTGTTTCCTTCGAGCAACTCTCGCAACTGATTAAAATATGTGAACTCAATTGGCGTGCAGTAATTGATGTTTGCTGCGGCTTGAGCTGATTGGGACAGGAATTATGTGGATAAGCTGTTGGTTGTGCCATGACAAATGTGGTGCCAAGTATATGCTATGCACATAATGCTGTCGATATGAAGTACGCCCCAGTGCCGCGCATTTGTCAAGCTTAAGTTTAACCTTTTGACAGCAGCCAATAGAGCTGGAGAGTGTGGAGAGCATGCCCTGTATCGCATTTCACAGAGGGTCTTATATTTGTGTATTTATGGAATAACTGGCGCTCCGTCGCCTGGGCAAGTGCAGTTTATATTCATAAAGTAGATAAAGCATCTGGCATACGCCAAATATTTGCATATTCGCAATGGCGTTGGCGATGGCGTTTATTTTTACTTTTGCATTCTAATTAAAATGCAGGCCGCTTAGCTGCAGCTGCAATCGCAATCAGAGCCTTTTCAGTGGGGCATCAGCTGCTCAGCTGCTCAGCTGCCTGCCATCCTTTCTGCTGTTAATTAATGTCCTTGCCTCTTAACATTCAAGCCGAGAGCCGAGCAATTGCAATTAAATTTCAATGCGGCAATCAATTCAATTCAACAAGTTGGTCCCGTCCCGTCCCTGACTTGGCCAGGTAGCTAAAGCCTGACATTGAGATGCCTGGCTACCAACAGCCGCAGGGTCCAAGTGTCCAACTCTGAATGCTTTATGGTGAACCTTAACCCACTTTGATAGCATTTTTTAACATATGACAAATATTTAACCTTGGGGTGTGCCATTGGCAGCTTCTAAACACAATGTGTGTGTGTGTGTGTACTTTGGCGTGTATGTCTGTGTGTGTGTTCGTGTGTGATAATGAGCTTTTCAATGAACAGCAAATGCTTAGTTCTGCGTTATCACACACACACACATGCACACACACATGCGGACACATGCGCTCATAAAGCCAACCATGCATTACATTCGCACTTGCTGGGCGAAAGGGGTGTGGGGGAGGGGGGGGGGCTGGTTGTGGGTGCCATCACTTACTGGCGAAATGCGCAGGGGCACCGCCTGACTCCACGCATTTCCTTATTTGTATTTGAGTTGGCATTCTATCCCATGTGTACCCAGACGCACACACTGGCAAATTTGCCTTTTGCCTTTTGCACGGCAGAGGACAAAAGCTCGCACGCACACACAAAGGCGTGCGCCTTGACAAAAGTCAATCAACATATTTGCTCCATTGGAGGGAGTACGCCAAGCGTATAATCGATTCGAAATGTGTTTGAATAACAAATTACTCAAATTGTGAATTGTGCGAAAGCCCATTGTATCTACGCACACACACAAGCTAGCACTCGCTCTCACACTCGCACACACACACATGTGCACGCGGCTTTCACGTTCATATTGCATGCTTTTAGGCGCGCCATAGAAATTAAATTTATGCACAGCTTGCAGCCGGCGCTACACATTTTGTGGCATGTCTTCGTCTTCTGGTGGCACGTCTGTCTGCCTAACCACTTGTTGGTATTGGCTTCTGGGTTGGTGACCGAACTTCACTTGAACTATTTGACCTCTCAGACAATGAACATGCCAGCATTGGATTATCCTTGTGTCTTTGCGAAGCTACCAAAAAATAAGAAATAAAAATAAAGGAGACCAAAAAGCAATATTCGTGTCATGCTGGCACATATACATAATCAAACACGTACAAAACTGAAGGCAGCAGCTTGTTAAAATAGAACTCAAGCAACGGCAGGTACAAATGCTGAACTTGAACTCAAAAGTATGCTTCGAGAGTAAATGTCAAATGCAGCGTCAGGCAATTAATGTGAATTTTCTAGAACATTTCTAGCGAACATTCATACAAATTTCTATATGTATATATGTTGATTAAGAAAAGGTATGCCAACTAATTAAGCTACTGTCTTACCAAATAAACCGTTAGCGAACTGCTGCACTTGGGCAAGTTTAAATCAAACCAAATGAACTGTGCGTGAGCATCGGCTGGTTTGGACAGGCCCTAGACATGGACGTAGACCGACATTAATCAAGTACAGGCATGTTGTCGCCCAGCTTCTTTATCTGTGTGTACTTGTATTTTTGTGTGTTGATGCTATGCTCTGATTTCAGCAATTTGTCAATGTGTCAGGCAAATCGCGCTGTAGGCGGGTTAATAAACCAGGCTCAGGACAACATTTAAACATCAATTTAATTAATTTATGTTGCCATTTGGCACGCTGCCTGGCAACAGCTGCCAGACGAGTGGCAACACTGGTCGCTCGCCAGCATCCCAGCGAACGGAATAATAGAAATGAAGGGCAAGCAACAGGTTACATTACTCGCGCGAAAGCTCTCACACGAAAAGCTTGGCAAGGCATGAATGAAAAGCACGCACACGCACACGCACACACAGACATACACGCAGGCATGCACAAGCTGCTCTCGACGCGTCTGCTATCGGCTCTGTTCGGCTGCTGCTGCTGCTGCGGGCGCTGCTGCTGCTGCTTCTGCTGCTGCTGCTGCTGTTGGTTGGTGTTTGCATTCGCATTTGGTTCTGTGTTCTCCCACGGGCGCTCATTGCGCCGTTAGCCAGGCATGCGAACGTACACGGCGCGCAACATCTCTGCAGCCGCTGTTCCGTTATTCTCCTGCTGGCTGTCTCGTCCTGTTACGCGTTTACGCCATTTTGGTTTTTTTTCGTGTGTGGAGCGCGCGTGATTTTGTTTCGCATCAGCAACAGCATCGGCATTTGAATTTTTATTCAATTAAAGTGCAAAAATCATCGCCATTTTCATGCAGCAACTGTTAATGGCCAGCCCCCCACCCTCTCTCTCTCTCTCAGAGTGTATTTGTGTGCGTGCGTGTGTGCGTGTGTTTGGGTGTTTGTGAAAAAATGCGCCGCTCAAAAATACATATTCAAATTTAATTTGGAATTACTGCACGCATTTAAATAATTGTGATGCCAGCACAAGTGTAAAAAAGTGAAAAATTCAAATACTGAGAGGCAACAAATACAACAACAACAACAACAACAACAGCAAAAAGCGGCAAAATATAAAAAAAGAGCCACCCGCGCACACTTTAGCCAATGTAGCCACATCTAATAGGATTACGCGCTGCCCGACAGTTTGCCGGATTAATAAAACAACTCAAATAGGAGCCTGCCTGCGTAGGTAAGTCTCTGTCGTGACAGCCGCACTTCACATTCTGCCCGTGCTGCAACAGGCGCTCTGATCCTGCGTTAAGTGTCCTTACGCTCATTCCCAACCAGGCAACCAGGCAACTAGCGTGATTTGAATGTCCAGCTCGGCACTCAGCACTCGCTGGGCCCCATATGCCGTGTGGACAGGCGTAATTGTTAACTATAAGCACACATATTAATATCTAACTTGGTGCCATATTAATTGGCATCCGTTAACTGTTTGGGGGGCGGTTGTGTGGGGCGTGTCGCAGGTATCGGCAGTAAACTCCATAAACAACGCATTTTATTAAGCCAAAACCCCGAATCCATTTGCGTTATTGCGTTTACGTGCACGAATGTTAATTGAAGCCAGTTCACCTTTACGGTGTAAGAGCAGCAGGAAAATATAGATATAACTCTATATATATGCAGATATATACTCCAAATATAAATAGAGATTAGATAAGTCGTCGATTGGTTTTCATCGTCGCTTTAAGCTCATGAAATTATTAGCGCATTCTGCTAAACGTTATGCAAAAATGAATATTCATAATGAGCGGGTCGCAGAAGGTGGCGGGTGTCGGACGCGTTCGTGAGTACACACATTTTGATGTGTGCTCAAAGCATGAAAGCAAATTACGCACAAAATAATTGACATTAGCATATTTTGTGCTCCCAACTCCAGAAGCCAGCACCGCCGGCACCTGCGCCTGCAGACAGCGTCTCAGCCCTTGTTTTGATACGCCACACACACGGCGTATACGTGATATATGCCTGAGCGTCAGGTTATAAAGCGTCTAACTGCCTGGGCTGAGTGGCCTTTTTTAGCTGGGCCCCCCAGTCACTTTGTCGGCCATATTTGTCTTGTACTTATACTATATATACATATATACTATATCTATATATATGTATACATATAATTGTATGGTATATAATACTTATTTGATGTGTTTCGACTCGATTCGTTTTGGACGCAGTTTATTTACTTTTTCATAGATATGGCCGCATGTGTGTTTATTTATTCAAGCAGCAATTGAAAAAGTGTTTGAATTGTTTTTTTGCGTCTGTTTTTTTGTCTCTTCTTCTCTGCTTGTCTTTCACTTTATCCGCTGTGCTATTCAGAGAGTTCTGACACTCATAATCCTTGCACACACAAGTGGAAGGCGTGTAAACGATTCCTTTGGGCAAT